GACCTGACAATCCCCTGCTCCAGTGTGCGGCCTCTTGAACTCTGTAGCATGCACTGTCAGCGGGGCCTCAGTGTCTTCATCTGCTATCAGTGGGTGGACGGGCTGTTCCTGTGTCTTGGCTGCTGGGCAGGGGGCTGCGGTGAGGGGCAGTTCTGGTGCCTCTTGGACACGCGGACCCATGTCCTCCATAGGTGCCCCATGTGTAGCACATGATTGGACGGGCAGTTTCCACACTCTCCTCCACAGTGGTGCACATGTCCCTCTCCTCTGCCCCCACCTGCTGTCCTTGCTATTTGTGACAGTAGCCATTCTTCCTGGAGTGAGCAGGTGTCTCCTTGTGATTCTGATGGACATTTCCCTGATGATTAGCTTTCTTTCATGTATCTGTTAGCTATTTCTTCATCCTCATTTGAGACATGTCTGTTTAGATCTATTGCTCATTTATTAAATGGTTTATCTCTTGCTACTGAGTTGAGTTCCTTCTATGTTTTGGATACTAACCTCTTATCAGAGGTATGATTCTGAGCCAGGTATGATGGCACACGCCTATAGTCCCGGCTACTTGGGAGGTTGAGGCAGGAGGACCACAAATTTGAGGCCAACCTCAGCAACCTGGAGAGACCTGTCTCCAGGCTGTGTGCATGTGGTTTGTGGGTGCCCTTTCCCACTCTCCATCCTGTGGCCTCTTCTCCCGTTGGCCGGCTCCTTTGCTGTGCAGCTCTTCAGCTCCATGCCACCCCATGTGCTCTCTTTGTTGATGTTGCTTGTACTTTTGGGTCACGTCCAAGAAATCTTGCCAAGACCAACGTCGTGTGCATTTCCTGTTTTCACCGGTGGTTTCATGGTTTCAGGCGTAGGTCTCAACTCACTGACCTACTCCAAGTGGATTTTTGTGTATGTCGTGACATGAGACTTCCAAAATTGGAAATAAGAACATCTAAACAAGGTGGAGCCCATTGTGCCATCGAGCTGCCAACTCTGAGCAGAAGACGGCACAGGGTGGGCAAAAGGGCCTGTGCCCCCAGAGGAACTGCCGTCCCTGCCAGGAGGTGGCTGTGCTGGGTTCTGCTGCCGGCCTGTCTGCCCCCTCTCGGCAGGTTGCCTGCTGGGGACTGCGTGGCAGCTGCGTTAAGCCTGGCAGCAGGTGGTCCGTGTGAGGTGGGCAGCTGGTTCTGTTGGCGGGGACCTGTGTGGTACGTGCCAGCCTGCCTGGGACTCTGCAAGGCAGAAGCCTCGAGGTGGCAACCCCGTGGGCAGAGCCAGCCACCCAGGCTGGTGTGCAGGGTGGGCAGGCACAGGGATGGCTTTCAGCCGCGTGGAGAGGACAGGCTTCCCCTGCCCCAGGTCACCTGTTGTGGGCCTTTCCCTGTCCTGTGCATCTGCAGATGGCTTCTGTCCTGTGCTGGGAGTCCTGCACACCTCTCAGTGCCCCTTGTCTGCTGAGCGGGGCTGGGGCTGGGTCGGGGGTGCACCGTGGCTGCCGCTACTTTAATGGCAACTCAACACCCATGGCCACGTGGGTCTGACGTACCGGCCACACTCCCGCCCCCTCCCCGAGTCCACTCAGCCGTCCTGCATTGCTGAGCGTGATCCGCAGGACCCGGTGTCCTCGGCCCACCATCAGGCCACCTGCCCGTTGGCCCACGAGATATCGTGACCAGAGCTGCTTTGAGCTCACTCCCCCTCTGGCACCTCGGAGCTCAGCCAGCCCAGCTCGCAGGCACCCAGGGCACCCAGGTGGCCTTTGTCGGGCAGAGCCGTCCAGTGTGAAGCCTGTTCTGTGGCACTGCTCCCACTCCTGGAGCCCCAGGGCACGGTGTGGAGCGTCTGGCCGCCCATCTTGCCGCGTCCTCACGTGGTGGAGGGGCAGAGTCTCCCTGGGGTCCTTTTGTCAGGACATTGATCCCATCACGAGGCTCCCACCTCGTGACCTCGTCATGTCCCAAAGGCCCCACCTCCTGACACTGTGGCCTGGGGTGAGGACGAACATTCAGACCAGGTCAGTGGATGAATCGTGGAATTTTATAGGCACACTGTTCTGGAGTTCCCGCCAGGGAGAGCCTGTCTTTCCCTGTCCTGGCACAAGGTCTGCTCCCAGGTTTGATGCGTGTTCCTCTGATAGAGACAGAACAGTGCTGTTTGGTAGTGGAGTGTCCCACGTCCCAACAGCTGGCTGTTTCCTTCCTCTGAACTGCATGTTTGTCCTTTGTCCATTTCCGTTATTGTTTGTCTTTATTTTTGGTTTTTAAACTGATACGTAAAACGTACACGTGTGCATTGGTGTTCTGATGTGTAGACTGCGTGTTATGTAAATCAGGTGAAGCTATCTTATCTCCTCCGACACTTATCAGTTGTTCATGGTGGGAAGGTCTGAGGTCCTCTCCTAGCGTCAGGCACGCTGCGTGATCGCCACCTGTGGTCCCACTACTGTGCAACGGCACACAAGGTTCTTATTCCTGTCCATCCTGTCCGCTTCGATGGACTCCTGGGGTTCATTTATAGAAAACAGATGTTCACAGACACACACCCACACATGGCATGCATGCACAGTTAGTTCTCGCTCAGGGATGTAAGTTGCACACTGATATTTTTCTCCAATATTTCCCCATATGTCACTTGTCTGCTGGTCTTTAAGTCTCTTCTTTTGCTCCCTCTGCAGAGATTTTTAAAAACACCTTAATCATTGCTTCTGTAACGCCCACTGAGTTCAGAGTCACAGAGACAGTGTTCCTATTCTAGGTTATTGTGTGACCTCGTCATCTTCCCCCAGTGCTTCCAAGGGTCATTCTTGGCTTTGAGGTTGGTATGGTGGGAGCCCTGACCTAGTAGACAGCATGCCACCTCCTCACCCTGGGCCTCCCTGTCGTGCCTCAGCCCCAGTCCTCTCCCCTGTGTACCCTCCTTGGTCCTCACATGGCACTGGCTTGGGACAGGAGCCTCTAGGACAGTTGTCCCTGAGGCTATGCATAGAGCTAAGGCAGGGTCAGCCATGGGCAGAGGGTGGGGAGCACAGGCTGGCCAGGTGGAGACCCGACCTCCCGGGTCCCTACTTATAGTGGGATAGGCTGGCCCACTGGAGTGGAGGGAGTGTCCCCCAGGCACAGACACATGTGGAGTGTCATTGTCTTAATACCCCCGACTGGCTGTGTGTCAGGAAGTGTCCTTGGCCTGCAAGTCCCTCCCCTGTCCCCACTTCCTCTTTGTCTCCCTTGATCCTCCTCTGCCTGCCCCTCGTGCCCCCTTCCACAACTCCACATGCACTTTGTGCCCCCATGAGACCCCCATGAGGGTCTGGGCCACAGAGCTTCCCTGGACACGGGAGCATCTTGGCAAGTCCAGGCCGTGGCACATGCAATGGACGCTGAGGCCTTTCTGGTGCTTCTGACCTGAACCTGGCTGTGACATTCTTACCTGGGGACAGAGGTCTCCGGTGAGAGCTGCCTTTGAGTTTGGGCTGTGGCTCTGCCTGCCTTGGTTTTCTCTGGTGGGCAGCCACAAGGCTCTGCCCCAGCCTGCCTCCACCCCTGCCCCTGGTGGGCAGCTCTCCTGGGGCCTGGTCTGGAGCCATCATTGAGCTCAGCCACCTGGCAAGGCTGGAGTCCACCGCTGGCCTTTGGTCCTCCCGGAGGCCCTCTGCTCAGATGGAGCTTTGGAGGTGAAGCCCAGCCCTTGTGGGGCTCTGGCCCTGGCCCTCCAGTCAGCTTCCTCCCAACCCAGAGCCTCTCTTCAACCTGGGAGCTCCCAGGAGACCCTACCTCTGCCCTGCTGTGCCCTCCTGCACCCCTCTGCCCTCCTAGAGGCCCCATCCTACTCCATGCTCCCAGGGCCCTACCCCTGCTGTAGGGCTGACACATCCCCTCTGCAACCTCTTGGCCCTGCTCCCGCCCCAGCCCTCGTGTAGACCACCCTTAGGCAGGTGAGTCCACAGCCCCCTGCGAGGGATTCAGGTGAGGGCAGTGTTCCAAAGCTGCTACCCCCGATCATTCCCAGAGGAGCCTGGGCACAACAGCATTGCCCCTGCTGAGGGGCAAAGGGGACTGTCTCCTGTGGTGTTTGAGGCAGGGAACTTAGTCCGTCCTGCCCACGTGCAAACAGATGCCTCCTCGTCCAAGGATGAAGGCCTGGGCATGGCGGGAAGTGCGTGTGCCTGCGGGCTCCATGTGCAGTCTGCCCACATGGGGTGCTGAGGCCTGTGGGTGACGCACAGAGCTGGTAGGACTCGGGTGTCAGTCCTGGGATGGAGCAGGGTGCAGAGCTGCCGGGTCAGGGCTGAGGCATTGAGGCTGGGAGCCTCACTCAGTGTGCACAGCCTAGGCCTGCACAGATGTGTTCTGGACAGGGCCTGCTGGAGTGTCCAGGGGTTGCCATCCGCTGTGGGGACATGGGGGTCTAGCAGGCTTGAATTCAGAGGAAGGAGGTGCAGGAGCCTGGGACAGGAGGGTACGTGACTAGAAGGCGAGGAGGGGAGGGCGAGCCTCTCCTTAGTTGGCCATTAGGCTGGGGGATGAGCTCTCCGGCCACTTGTGAAGAGCTGGGCCCTGGAGTGTCTTCACTGAGAACTGTCCTTTCACTCTGGTGGCCAGTCCTGCCCTTCCAAGACTGAAAGACCCTGCCTGGTCACCAGGCTACAGAGGGCAGGCAGGGAGGAACAAGCCAAGGCCTGCCCCTGAAGCCATAGACCCATGGGACACCCCCAGCTGGTGGCATCAGAGGGAAGTGGTCTCTAAGCTGGGGAGGGGAGCAGAGTGTGGTAGAGACACCAGGGAGCTGTAGTCCTGGATTTGGCCCTATCCCCTGCTGCAGCTTGAGCCTGGCTGTGCTCGTGGGGGTGGTATGTGTCAGGGAAGGGGCTCCATGGGTCTGGGCAGTGTGGCTGGTGTGGACTGGACTCCCTGAAATGGCTGGGCTCCTCCTGCTTGGCTCTGTGGGATGGTTCTTCTGTCCCCAGCTCCCGTGGTCCTGGCTGGAGCTGGGGCTCACTCTTGCCTCTCCATCCCCAGGCTGACTGGCAGCGAGCCCCTGACCATCCTCCCACTGACCCTGGAGCCTGAGGCAGCTGCCCAGGCTCACTTTAAGGCCTGTGATCGGCTGAAATTAGAGCGCAAGCAAAGGCGCATGTGCCGGCGGGACCCGGGCGTGGCGGAGACGCTGGTGGAGGCAGTGAGCATGAGCGCGCTCGAGTGCCAGTACCAGTTCCGCTTTGAGCGCTGGAACTGCACCCTGGAGGGCCGCTACCGCGCCAGCCTGCTCAAGAGAGGTGAGTGCCCAGGCCCTGCCCAGATCTGGCCAAAGAGCCCAGGTGGCAAAGATAGGACTGCAGGGCTGTGGGCATATCCCTCCTGCATGCTCTCTTCCTCTGGGTCCCAGGTGACCTGAGGCCTGGCTTCTGGCAGTGGCTGGGGCCTGGACAGAGCAGCCCCTCACCTCCCTCCACCCATCCCCTCACCTCCCTCCACCCATCCCCTCCATCACACACACTCATGGAGGGCCTGGTGGCATAGGACATCTTTGCTCAGTCTTTGACAGGTCCCCGGGCTATCTGTGAGCGCTTGACTCATTCCAGGTATCTGAGTGCCCAGACACCTCCACCCAAGGAGAAGCCCTCCTCTCCTCCCTCCTGCACCTGGGGCACAGAGGTTGGGGCCCCTCCACAGCCTTGCCCCAGCTGAGGGCTGGGGTGCTGGGCAGATGATCAGTGGTAGATGCTTAGGGAGGTCCTCCACGGAGAAGGCCCTGGATTCCATCCCCAGCACTGCCAAAACAAAACCAAAGGAAACCAAGCATAGGGGACTTGAGACCAGGGCAGGGCCACGCCCTGAGTTCCAGCACCCTGGACATGCCCTGCACCCCAGGCAGGCAGCACCACACACCTGCTCACCTGAGGGGATGGTTCAGAGCCCCCAGCTGTGGTTTGACTGCAACACATGTGAAATGGGAACCTCCAGATGGGTGCAGGGTCCTGGGGCCCTGGCCTCACTGACCTGCCCCTGCTGACCCCAGGCTTCAAGGAGACCGCCTTCCTCTATGCTATCTCCTCGGCCGGCCTGACACACGCCCTGGCCAAGGCGTGCAGCGCCGGGCGCATGGAGCGCTGCACATGTGACGAGGCACCGGACCTGGAGAACAGAGAGGCCTGGCAGTGGGGTGGCTGCGGGGACAACCTCAAGTACAGCAGCAAGTTCGTTAAGGAGTTCCTGGGCAGGCGGTCAAGCAAGGACCTGCGAGCCCGCGTGGACTTCCACAACAACCTCGTGGGTGTGAAGGCAAGCAGAGCAGGGCGGGGCGCAGGGTGGGTCTGTTGAAGGCCCCGGAAGGGACAGGGGCAGGTGGGCGGGGTGCAGAGTGAGTAGGTGTGGCAAGACATGGGGGGTTGGGTACAGGATCTGTGGAGAGGCAAGGCGCAGGGTGGGTGGAGCTGGGCATGCAGTGGGCGGGGCCCAGGGTGAGGGGAAGGGGCTGGGCGCAGGCCTGGGGTTGAATGTGGATGAGTGGACATAGGAAGGGAGGGGCTTGCTGGAGGAGGCTACTTCCCATAGAGCTTGTTAACCATAGGACAGATGGGGGCACTAGCCATGGAGGGGTGCCCCGTCGTGCCCCAGTGAGACATCCCCTGCATCCCCTGTGGAGAAGAGGAACTGGAGGCCCCAGGATAACAGCTGGATGGGCCCCTCTGGCCTGCCACTGCTGGTCTAGAGCCCAGAAGGGTTCCTGGGTTGTCGTGGAACCAGGGGTTGGCGGGATGTGCCCCTCCTGCTAGGGCAGCCCTCAGGCTTGTCACCAAGACTGTTGAGAGCAGTCATAGTGGGAATGTGTCAACTGGGGGTCCTGGGAAGAGTCTGGGAGTGCAGAACCCACTCACCCAACTCAGGGCTGTCCACGCCTCTTCTGCTGGTCTCTCTATAGCCAGACTCCGAGCAGAGCTAGCTACAAGAGACCCAACTAAAAAGACTCAAGTTTCAGAAAGAGAAATTTCCAAGCTCTCCAGTGGGCCCTTTGGGAGGCCTTGGGCTGTAGCCTGGGTGAACCTGGCTCTCTGGCTCTCTGGCTGTCCTTCCCGTCACCAGAGCTCCAGATGCTGGCTCCTGCAAGGGAGGGGCAGATCCCTAACTCTAAGACACCCGACCCAGTCCCCGACCAGCCCTGACCACCAAAGGCTGACTCCAGGCCCAGCCTGGGCCTCAGGAGGGCAGGGCCAGCACGCCTCCTCAGAAGCCGCTCTTTATGAGAAGGCAGAGTTCTGGCCACGCACTTGTTAAGCACTCAGTCTCCCTGTCCATCAGTGCTCTGCTGCCTCCTCCTGCCTTCCTGAGCCGGCTGGCAGGCGGGTGAAACTGGAGGGCAGATTAAATCCTCAGGCTAGGCCCTGGTTTTCCTTTGTGTTGACCCCTCCTTCCCCAGTCGCCCTTTTGTGAGCTATTAATGAAAAGTCAGAATGTGAAAAGCCCTGGACCTGGGGCAGCCACATTTTAATTAAACCCGTCTAGGTTTCTCAGCAAAGCATCACTAAGTGGAGTCTCCGTGGCCGCAGGAGGGGGCGGGTGGCTGCATTTCTTAACCCCCCACCCAGCCTGCATGGTGGGAACTCGTGGTCTGGCTCAGGGCCCACCTGGGAAAGGGCTAGTCCCCTCCCCACTTGCTTCTGCCCCAGGGAAGAGATCCCAGGCTGGAGATCCCAAGGGAAAGCCAGCCCCTCTTGGGACCCCAGCCTCCTCCCAGTGTGGACCGTGGGTGCTCAGCTGGGGCTGCTCCTGGAGAGGCAGAGGAGCACCCCGCTCGGGAAGCTCTTCCAGCAGTAGAATTCTCTCGCTGTCAGGAGTGGGCTTCTGCCCTTCTGCAGCGACTGACCTACAACAGCAGCTGGGGCTCAGGGCCGTGCCTGTGGGTCCCCAGTACTTAGGTGGGGTCAGGGCACGGTTGTCCAGCTTGTCCAGTGAGTGACATAGCAGACTTCAGTGGGGCTAGGGTTGTTGAAGGGGAAGAGGGGTGGACATCCAGGCAGGAAGGGGTGTCTCAGCAGTGTGGGGGGTATCTGCTCACAGAGGTTTGGGGAGGTGTCCTGGAAGGTAAGGTGCAGCCATAGGACCTCTGTCCTGGGTAGTCCCTGGCTTGGAGGGAGAGGGACCTGCACAGGGACCAGGGAGTGGAGCCTCCATGTCAGAGAGATGGTGATGACCCCTGCTGGCCAGGTTTGGGTCTGTCCAGCCCTGGGTGGGTAGTTGGGCTACCTGGCAGGTGCTCTCACGTCCATGCCTTCTGCAGGTGATCAAGGCCGGGGTGGAGACCACGTGCAAGTGCCATGGTGTGTCAGGTTCCTGCACCGTACGGACTTGCTGGCGGCAGCTGGCACCCTTCCACGAGGTGGGCAAGCACCTAAAGCACAAGTATGAGACGGCGCTCAAGGTGGGCAGCACCACCAACGAGGCCACGGGTGAGGCAGGTGCCATCTCCCCACCACGGGGCCGGGCCTCAGGGGTGGGCAGTGCTGACCCGCTGCCCCGCACACCCGAGCTTGTGCACCTGGACGACTCACCCAGTTTCTGCCTGGCCGGCCGCTTCTCCCCAGGCACAGCTGGCCGCAGGTGCCACCGTGAGAAGAACTGTGAGAGTATCTGCTGTGGCCGCGGCCACAACACGCAGAGCCGGGTGGTGACAAGGCCCTGCCAGTGCCAGGTACGCTGGTGCTGCTATGTGGAGTGCCGGCAGTGCACACAGCGCGAAGAGGTCTACACCTGCAAGGGCTGAGCCCAGGCCCTCCAGCCCTGCAGTGTGCACACAGTGAGAGGAGGTCTACACCCACAGGGGCTGAGCCCAGGCCCTCCAGCCCTGCCGTGTGCACACAGTGAGAGGAGGTCTACACCCTCAGGGGCTGAGCCCAGGCCCTCCAGCCCTGCCGTGTGGGGTGTAGGCAATGCACACAGTGAGAGGAGGTCTACACCTACAGGGGCTGAGCCCAGGCCCTCCAGCCCTGCCTGGGGTGTAGGAAATGCACGGAGTGCAGGGTTCACACCTGCAAGGACTGAACCCCGGCTGTGGCAGGCATTGTGCAGCAGGAGGCAGCTCCAGCTGCAAGGGCTGAGCCCAGGGCCCCAGGGTTGGTGTCTGGGTCAGCTGTGGAGGCCAGCTTCTGTCTGGCCTCCCCAACCCCTGTGCTCCTGCCCAAGGCCTGAGCTTTCTCCCATGACCCGAGAGCGTTGCAGCAATGCTTTCTCAGCTGTCTCCATCCCTGACACCAGTCCCCCCATCTGGGCCCCAGTCTGTTGGCTGCCCCTCCCCACCTCCGGGCTCCCTCTGAGGCTTGGAGGGCAGGTGCACCTTTGTGACCACAAGGCCGCCATGGGGCACGGGCCTGGCCCGGCACCCAGCACCAGCACTGTCTTCAGAGAGCCAAACCACTAGGAGAGTGCACAGCCCTCCATCTCCAGGGCCCTGCTGCCCAGGCGCCCGGGCGGGGAGGACTCTGCCTTCCCTCTCTGACATCGAGCACTTCTCTTTGGAGTGAGTATCAGTAACTTTAAGTTATTATATATTATTATTATTATTATTATTTAACTAATATAATAATTATTATTTTCTCCATCCCCTTTGCCTCTTGGGCTGACTCTGTCTTGCCCTGAGCTGGGCAGGGAGGGCTCCTCTGTCCCTGTGCTCCAGTCTTCCTCCCGACCTGTTTGCCCTGTCGTTTGAAACCACTAAATTGAGATGATATTGTTAAATGAAGCAAGTGGCCTGCAGAGCTTCTTGGAAGCCGGCCCCCCACCCCATGCCAAGAGGACAGTGCCACTTGGTGGCTGTGCTCTGTACCTTATGGGCAGAAAGTCAACACCAGGGTCTCTTGCAGATTCTGGGCCTTGGGGTGGCAGAGGGGTGGGCTTGGTGAAAGAGGCAAGGCCATCCTTTGAAAGTTCATCCCATGGAGAGACCACACTTGCTCGTGTGTCACAGGGGTGGGGGCAGGCAGGGACAGACGCACTTGGAGAGTCTCTGGCTGGCCTCTGACAGTGGCACACCCTTCTTTGGGGCCATGCTGTTGTTTTATCAGGGGGAGGGGTGACCGACACTGACCTAGTTTGGTTTGAGCATGTGTGTGTGGGGTGTGTGTGTTGCGTGAGTGTAGGTCGTGTGTGCATACTGTGCTGGTGTGGTCAGCGGTCACTTGGGTTGTCCCACCTCCTTGGTGTACCACATAGTGGCCCTTTGGCTCACAGAGGTCTGGCCTGCAGTTTTTTTGGGTGGGTGGCCTCATGTGGGATGGGGTCTGGGAGGAGGCAGGTGTGGAACTACTGAGCAAGGAATGGGCTCCTCAGAGCCCGGTGTCCAGGAAGCAAAGGGGAAACTGTTTTTGAAAGGAAGCCTGTTTATGTGGCTGCAGGTCTCTGGTCCTTCTGAATGGTGTCAGTACCATTTATTCTCCTGGGTTCAGATGGCAGCCCTTGGTCAAGGCCCCGTCCCAGCAAGTGAGTGTGGGTGGGCTGTGTGAGGGCTGCATCCAGGTGACCAGAGGGGCAGAGTAGCTGGCGGGCCCGGGGGGCCTGTCCTCCCAGGTGTCCACACCTGCCAGTGTCCCAAGCAGCAGGCCTGGCCACTCTGCCCCTGAGACTGGAGCTCAGTCGTGTGATTCGTGGAAAGACACCCAAGGGCCAGGGTCTTCTTACCCAATACCAGTTGAGCTCTGTCCTCAACATTCAGAACAGGCTCTTCACCCGAGGCGGCCTGCAGAGGTCTGTTGGTGGTTTTGTTTCTCTCTAAAGACACACAGAGCGTCCTGCTCAGTGAGGAGGCCACCGTGCCGGCTGCGGCCTCTGACCTTGTGGGACAGCGTGGAAGGAGCTGTTCTGTGGGGCGCGGAGCCAGTGGTCTCCCTCTGCCCCATCCACCTGCTCCCACCAGCCCAGCGGGGGCCTGACCTGAGCCTGCCTCTGGCCGGGTGGGTGGCCCAGGAGGGAGGGGCGTCCCTGTGCTGAGGCTCCCGTGAGCCTGTTGATTTCTCTACCTCATCTGTAGCCCGTGGGTGTGAACCCGAGTGACTGTGGAGAATGTATTTATTTAACAGCTTTGTATAACAGAACCAGAAACAAATGGAGTACTAAATAAATGTATTTTAAGTTATGCCCACTTGAGTCTGCCACCTTCACAGGGGCCCTGGGGGTCGGGGTAGGCAAAGGAGGCGGCTGCAGGGAGTGGGGAATGTGAGGAGGAGTGGAGAGGAAGCCTGGGCAGGCAGAGGGAGGACGGGAAGAGGAAGATGTGGGCCCAGGACGAGGAGCCGTTGCTTGTAGTGGGCCTGTGTCCCCATGCCATGTGGCTGCCCAGGCCCCACTGGTCTCTCTACCTCCTGTGTCCTCTGGGCAGGGGCTTGCTCACCCACTCCCACCCAGTTCTCTCCCTCCCTCCCAGGCTGTCCAGGGGACGGCCCCCCACAGGCCAAGCCCTCCTACTCAAGTCCACCGTGGTCCCCACCCCTCTGACACATCCTGCTGGAACCCCTGATGGCTCCTGCTCATGCCCTGACTCCCCTGAGTTGCTGTCCTCTCGGCCCTCCACCTGTTCCCTGGGCCTCCTTGGGGAGCATCTGGGAGAGGCCTCCATGGAGAAATTCAAATCTGCCTAATTTGAATTCCAAATTCTCTTTCCTGACCCTGGGACTCTCCTGGGAAGGGAGGATGGCCCCCAGTGCTGAGTCCTCGCCTCCAGCCTCTGGCCTCTACTGGGCTGAAGTCCCCCTCTCAGGATCTCCACAGACTACCTTTAGCTCCCAGGCCTCTGCCCAGCAGGCCAGGCCTGAGTGGGCCTGTTCTTGAATGTTGGAGGCAGAACTGTCCAGCCTGGGTGAGAATCTGGCCGGGTCAGTTTCCCATGGCCTGCCCCACTGAGGAACCCTGGCTGGTCTTCTCCGGTGGGTCCTGGGTCCCAGCTGTGCAGCTAGGGTTCCCGTGTGGGTGGATCGTCCAGTGTTCAGGGTCTGTACCTGCAAGCCTGCATACAGGTGGCGTTGTGGCTGTGTACAGTTGCGTCTGCGTGTCCACATGTGTGTACGTGTGTGTTCAGAGGGGCTAGGTCCGTGCATCTGTTATGCATGCATGTCTGTGGCTGGGACAATGTTTGTTCACATGTGCCAAGTGTGTGTGTGCACACATACATGGCCCACATGTCTGTGTGCTCGCCCATGGCTGGCTCCACAGTCTGCATGCTGTGTGTGTGTACATGTGTGTTGTTCACGTTCTTCTGCATGCATGTGCATGTGTGAGTGCTGTGGGGACTAGTGCTGGGCTGTAGCTTGCCGCCTTGCCCTATGTAGTGTGGGGGGCCTGCCTCCAGAACCCCCTGCCCCTCTCTCTGGCCTCTTCAGCTCTGAGCTCCAACAGGTGCATTGCCTGAGGCAGGAAGGAAAACCTCTCCTGACCAACCGCTTCTGCCAGGTGGGTAGAGACACCCTGTAGGCTGCCAGGTGCTCCCCACCTATTAGGGCAGAGGAGAAGCTTCTAGGCAGTTCTGGAGCACAGGGCACCTGGAGCTGCCATCCTGGAGGTGGGACTGAGGGTCACAGCCCCTTCCTGGAAGCCCAGGGTTCTGGGTTGGGGTCTCTGTCCTGGCCAGTGTGGGGGCTGGGAGGGTGGTGGCCTGACTGGCAGCTTTGCTGGACGCCTGTGGATGGGAGTGGAGGAGGAGCCAGCACGTTGCCAAGGAAACAAGACCCAACAAACACTCCCCCCTCGGCCTGGTGGGGGGCCTGTGGCAATGACCTCATCTGCCCACCCAGCCCCTCTCCCAAGGCCAGGCTGAGGTGGGGGGTCCTGGGCTGTTTGTGTTGGGCCTAAGTCCATGGAAACAGCCGGCCAGGCCAGCGGTTGTGAGCAGGCAACCAGTGGCCTGACCTCCCAGAGCTAGGGAGGGGAGGGGTCCTAGAAGGGAGGGGAGAGAAAGAGGAGGGAGGAGGAAGAAGGAATGGGGAAGTGGGGTACCCAAGAAGCGGGAGGAGGAAAGAAGAGAGAGGGTGGGGGATCCAAGAAAGGGAGGGAAATTAGGGGGGGAAGAGAGGGGGAAGGGAGGAGGGGGGAGGGTGAGGTGGGAGGGGGAGAGGGACAGGGAGAGGGGAAGAGGAAGGCAGAGGAGGGAGAAGGGAGGAGGAGGACAGAGGGGAAGGAGAGTGGGAAGAAGAGGGGGGAGGGGACTGAGGAGGAAGGCTAGAGAGGCACCTGCCCTTGGCAGTGAGGGGCCAGGGCAGCTCCTGGGGGAGGTGCCCTAAAGGACAAGAAGGGCCTGAGTGAAGGGGCTCAGGACGTGGGGCAGGTGGGCCAGCCCTGCCAAGCCCTGGGGGGTCCGGGGCTGTGTAGGGTAAGAGCTCTGTGGAGCAGGGCCTCAGTGTGGATTTTACCCTGTGACCTCCCTCTCCTAGAGGATCTCCCTTGTCTTCCCCAGCCAATGTCTGTGGGCAGGTTGGATGCCACCCAGCCTGCAGTGAGCTCTGACGCTGGCCCTGGTGCTGGCCAGGTAGCCATGGTTAGAACGCCCACAGCGAAGGTCCAAGGGTTCCAGGGGTCGTGCGTCTCAAGGCAGGGGCCAGAGCCTGTCTCCCTCCCTCTCAAAACGTACGCATCTTTGTGTTGTTTGAAATAAGTTGGAAACATCTGATTCTGTGTCCCAAATGATATTCCTCCCAAGGTGACTGTTTCCACCCTGGCATGAGTGCACCCCACCCCTGCTCAGCCCCCTTCCTGCTGAGGTGTTCGAGGTGTTCGCTTTGGCGTTGTTTGCCCCCCTGACTAGGGATCCTGAAAAGATAAGCCTCTCCTCTGGGGCCCTGTGTTCAGCAGAAGGTGGTGGCCACACTTGGGAAATGGAGATGTTCTTCTGTCCTTCCTGTCTATTGAGAAACTTAGTGTTGTGTTTTTCTAGCAATGTCAAAGATAGGTAAGATGTTTTTCTTCTAAATTTGGTGTGTCATGCAGGCTGAATATCAATCATCTGAAATGCTTGGGGCCTGAGATGTGTTACAGATGTTAGGCTTTTTTTTGGGGGGGGGGATATTTGTAAAAGTTGAATACCCCTAATCTGAAAATCCAAAATCCTAAAATCTAAAGTCCAAAACTTTTTGAGGGTCACATAGGTACTTAAAGTTTAAAGTTTTGGATTTCAGATTTTTTGGATTAGGGATGCTCAACTGCAAAGCAGTGCCATTGTTACTGGATAATTGCATTTCTCTATCCATTCATCCATCTGTCCACCCACTTATCTATCCATTAGTCTATCCTTTCACCCTACTATCCACCCATCCATCCATTTCCCCATCCATCCATCCACCTACTTATACATCCATCCATCCATTTCCCCATCCATCTTTCTACCCATTTCCCCATCCATCCATCCATTTCCCCGTCCATCAATCCACCCACCTATCCATCTATCCATCCATACATACATACATACGTCCCCCAGCCACCCACCTATACATCCATCTATCCGTTTCCCCATACATCCATGCATCTGTCCCCCCACCCATCCACCCACCTATATATCCACCTATCCATTGCCCCATCCATCCATCCATCCAACCCCCATCCATCCAACCACCTATCCATCCATCCATACATACATACATCCCCCAACCACCCACCTATACATCCATCCATCCATTTCCCTGTCCATCCCCACCCACCCGTCCATCCACCCACTTCCCCGTCCATCCACTCAGGACAAGTATCCATCAAGTGCCTCATACATGCCAGGTAATGCCAATGCTAAAATCAAGGGTATTGGCATCAGCATTAAAACTGTATGTTCCATGGAGGAAAATCCATTGTGAACAACTAACTGTCCATGTAACTGTCCTACCATAAACTATCAGGGGGGACAAACCCTGCAAACTCTAAGTCTGTTATGGTGGTGACATGTATGAGAAGAGGTCCCCAGAGTCTGGCCACAAAGAAGCCCCTGCTGATGCTCACAGAAAACACACCTAGCCCACAGGGAAAGCTTTGAAGGAAATGGAGTGTAGGCTGCCCAGAGTGGAGCAGAGGCCAGGCGTCCAGTCACTGCCTATGGGACGGGGTGTGAAGACGGCAGGTGCAGACTGTCAAAGGGCCATGCTCAGGCAGGAGTGGGGTGGCTGGAGTAGGGTGGGCAGCCAGCTTGGGACAGCTGAAAGCTGCCACCTCGGTCCACAGAGGCCACAGCATGGAGTTTGGGCAGTAGCTGAGGACAGCCTCCCACATTCTGCGGCTTCCCCCTGCGAGGTTCAGGCTGTAACCAACCCGATGGCCTGACTTCTGGACTTTTGCTTATCTCTGCACTGTCCACTTTTAGCAAGAGCTCTGCTTCAGCACCCTCGCTATCTGATGGGTTCCTCACCCCACCACCCCCAAATGATGTCTGGTCACTGGCCTGCCTGCAGCAAGAATCCTGGGTCCAGCCAGAGCCCCTGTCTGCTCCTGGCCACGTCCCAGTCATGGATCCCGCTTTCCACTTGCTCATGCTGTGTCTGGAGGGGAGCCCGGTTCTGTACCAAGACTTCTTTCTCCCCATTGAAATTGCCCTGAATAAAATCTGATTTTGCTGCTATAATTTCCATCCAGCTCTGGTTTCCTTGGATGCTGGTGTCTCTCCCAATATGAGATGGGGGGCAGGTTTGCCTGGCCATTTGCTGCTACAGGTGTCCAAGGAGCTGTGCAGAATGGTCCTGCAAACAGAATCCCCAGGAAGGAGCAGGAGGGAGGACAGTGCCCACCACCCTGGGGCACATTCTGGTGAGCAGGAAACAGCAAGAGGAGCCGCGGGTGGTGTGGGAGCAAGGGCGTCCCTGTGGGAGAGCAGCCGGGACCAGAAGGGGGTGCTGGGAGGAGGGAACTCCTAAGGCAGGGCAGTGGGGGTCAGCCGGGAGAGTGCAGGCCAGGGGGCTGTGCTGGTGAGGTGTGCCCAGCCCCCCAGGTCAGATAGGGGAAGTCAGGTTTGGCACAGGGAGGGCTAGGGCAGGGGTCCAGGGAGTCACGGGGTCTCCTGGAAGAATCTTGATAATGGGTATGGAGGGGTGAGGGGCTGGTGGACACTGAGGAAGAGGGTACCGTAGGGGATGGGCCAGCAGGCTCCAGCAGGGGCCTGGACACAGCTGTAGG